GAGTATCTTCTCCTTATAAGAGGTATATTTTAGAAGTACCTGAATCATAGACCGATACAGAGTTCCCGGAGTTAGTCTCTTATGAGGTAATTGGCGTCTAAGGTCACTTAAGTTCCTTCCAACGAGTTCTAGAATGATAAAATGGCCTGTGGGGCATGTGCCCATTGCCATAATTTCTGGGATATTAGCCTAAATTTTCTTGTTTTGGAAGATCTCTCTGCAAACGGCAAAGTCGCTTACTTTGCCTCGTAGCAGCATTAGCACCATAATTTCTAGCTTCATCCTTTTACGATCACATTGTTCAGATTCAATTTTGACGGCCCATCTTGTCTGTGTATCTTCATGAATCGCTCTTAACGAGAATTTGTTTGAATATTATACTTTTATTAACTATTGAGGCTCTAACTGTACTAATGCTCGAACATCTGTATTTATCAACTTTTCTGCTTGTTTACTGGTTGTTCTGATACGCTCACGCTATTCTTAAGTTCGCGTTCATTTCATTTCGCTTTTGTAATGAAACGTATTTCGTACTGTTATCTATCGTAGCTCATTTTTATGCATCCTCAATCAATTTTCCATCTGAATAACTAGTGATAAGCATAATTTATGGCAACGCAAATAGTTGCTTGTAAATGAATGATTGTCCGTCAGTCTGTCATATAACTGATCTTTTGAATTTTAAATATGAAAAAAGAAAAGTTTCCAATTATAGAAGATTTTCTTTATATAACCTTAAAAATACAAATTCTCATAAACATCAGCGATTTCTGCTGGAAAACACAGCAACTTAGTTGTTTCTGTAATGTGCGATCGGTGTTTCCTATATATATAAAGCAGAAAGTCTGTATGAATGTATGTATGTACGTATGTATGTTCGGAATAAAAAATTTTGAATAGGAATCGAAAAAGCCCAGATTTTGCACACATACATTTCAGACGCCGGCGGATACCATAGGCTATTTTGTACAGTAGTTAGACGTTGATGGCGTTGATTTGCCCATTTTTGGCCAAATTACATCATTTTAAAAAATGAAGTGATATCAATCGTTATCAGACTACTTAAGCAACATCATGCAAACCAATGTGGTCTGAATGGAAGTATGTCAGTGCGGAGTGGTTGCTTATTTGAATCACTGGGAGAGGCATGGTGAGGTGTAGGGCAAAATAACTAAGTTACGCAGTCTTTTCTTGGCAATTAGTTCAACAACTGAAAAAGTTCTAAACGCAGAGCGAGTATATATATTGCTAGCAAGTGCCAGGTCCCACTCCCAACGCTTTTAAGGTCTCAAAATTGGACCCTGTTTAACACATTACGCCGAATACTGTTCGATCTTATCAAGATAGCTGCACTTTTTTGTATAATTTTTATCAATCACATAGTACATTCAATCACATGGTACATACCCTCATTTCAAGTACTATTCAATAAATGCGTTAAATTATGCCTAGAC